GATAAAAATATATAAAAAATTTAAAAATAATTGTATATATATATATATATATATATATATATATACATAGACTTTCAAATATGTTATATATAATGTATATAACTTATACTTTAATAAAATTATTTTTACATTTTTCAATATTTTTAACCATCTAGAGGTCACTATAAACTGTTGATTGGAACAGAACTGTGTAAAATTTTTTAATCTTAATTAAATTTTTTCCTTATTAAAAAGAAAAACAAACAAATAGCAGCATTTATTTAATTTTTCAAATTAGTGCAAAACATTTTTTTTAATTCTAAATTTAAATTTAGTGTTTTTAAATTCTTATTGTTTTTAAAGACTACGTTTAAGTGAGCTTTAGATGATGGGAAAGGTAAATTAAATGGGAAAAAAATCAAGAAATGAGCATGCACAATTAATTATGCAATATCTGTGATATCCAATATGGACTTAAAAAAACTTTAGAGATTTTATAATAAATCACATCCTCAATTTTGATCTGTTTGTCACACAAAGCTATCATGTAACTTGAAATGCAACTTTAAGGTTAATTAAAAATCCTATATTAGTGCTCCAAATGTCTGAAACATAACAGAAAAATCAATTTTTAGGCAAACTATTCTTTAAAATCATTATAGTCAGTCAAAACCCAATCTCCTATGAGAGAAGAGGAGTCTTCACTCACACTGGGGTAAAGCACTGAAACTCTACAGGGAAAAACTGAAACTCTGAAGGGGAGATCTGGATTACACACACGCAGATACACACTGACACACATTCACACAGAACAGTGATGTTGTCTGAGCCATGATGGACTCTGTCTACCCCTCTGAGAGGCTGGGCATTGTGGGTAATATGACATTATTAGAATGTATCCAGCATCAGGAATGCATAACATCGCCCGAAGACCATGAGAGAAGTAATTACGCCGTAAATGGAGTCTGTCAGCAATCATCAGTCCTGCACAGACAACCGGCAAAGAACCGCAATTAGACGTTGAGCCGCTTTCAATCGACAGCGCAAACTGACAACAAGCCTCATCGGAGGAAGCCGAGAGAGACGAGGTCGGATGCAGTGCAAGCGAGCTGAAGCGGGTAGTTAGCGGCTTAAACAGGTCATGACATGTCAGCTCAGCTCTTTGATACGATCAATTCAATCTTTATTGAACGCGTCGTTTCAAATTACGGTGGGCGTGATCGAAGCGGCGAGGATGCATTACAACAGACGGCAGCAGAACGGGGCTGAATCTCAACCACTGATGGACTCTGTCTACCCCTCTGAGAGGCTGGGCATTGTGGGTAATATGACATTATTAGAATGTATCCAGCATCAGGAATGCATAACATCGCCCGAAGACCATGAGAGAAGTAATTACGCCGTAAATGGAGTCTGTCAGCAATCATCAGTCCTGCACAGACAACCGGCAAAGAACCGCAATTAGACGTTGAGCCGCTTTCAATCGACAGCGCAAACTGACAACAAGCCTCATCGGAGGAAGCCGAGAGAGACGAGGTCGGATGCAGTGCAAGCGAGCTGAAGCGGGTAGTTAGCGGCTTAAACAGGTCATGACATGTCTGCTCAGCTCTTTGATACGATCAATTCAATCTTTATTGAACGCGTCGTTTCAAATTATGGTGGGCGTGATCGAAGCGGCGAGGATGCATTACAACAGACGGCAGCAGAACGGGGCTGAATCTCAACCAATCTGAATGAAATTCTATGAAGACAATGGCTCTGGTCCAAACACTAATCAGCTGCCTACATAGACAGCATTGTAATGCACCATTGGCATTTGGTTCCTTTAGGAAGCTGGTATCGCTACAGGAACGCCCTTTCACAATTTTGTATCACTCCGCTTGTTCTAGCCGGGTCTATGTTTTTATTTATTTATTATTATTCACTGAGCTAATCGTAGAGTACATTAGTTAATATAAGAAGAAACGTCTAGCTTCGCGGTCTCTCTCTCTCTCATTTGGATGCACGTCTTGCCGCATTGTTTCTCTCTTATAACTTCATTATTTCTCACTAATAACCTAACTGAAGCAGCACATGCCCTTGATACAGATTCTAAAAGTGACGTATGTTTAACTGTCACCTTGAGCTTTGAATCCGTGGCGGAAGGAAGTAGTTCCGCACAAAAGAGGGTTTTATTAGGCACTCTGTTGTTTCTTGTTTAATTACACACATGTTCCGTCGAACTGTTGTATAAACGCAATATCACTCTCGTACTCGAGCGATACCGGCTCTATATCTGTGGCCTCGTGCCTCTGGCCTAATCACAGCACCTTGGCCACTGGTGTTGTGCCAACAGCACTTAAAACTGCTGCTGTCACTCCCATATTAAAAAAGCAAAACAGTGATTCGAACAATCTCAGTAACTTTCGTCCAATTTCTCATCTTCCATTTATTGCTAAAATTTTAGAGGGTGTTGTTTCGTCTCAATTACACAACCATTTAACGGTCAATAATCTGTTTGAGCCTTTTCAATCTGGGTTTAGGAAACTGCACAGCACTAAAACAGACTTTGTTAAAGTTGTTAATGACTTACTGTTAGCGTCTGATTCTAGCGCTCTTTCGATTCTCATCTTACTCGATCTTAGTTCAGCCCAGCCTTCGACACTGTTGACCACATGCTTTTACTTAATCGACTGGAAACTGTCTTTGGTGCATCTGGGAATGCCCTAGATGGGTTCAGGTCATATTTTACGGGTCGCAGTAAATTTGTTTCTATGGATGGTTTCAGATCTGATGTGGATCCTGTTTGTACTGGTGTCCCACAGGGCTCAGTTCTTGGTCCCCTACTTTTTAGCATTTATATTTATCCTCTTGGTCAGCTATTAAGATCCCTTAAACTCAGCTACCACTTCTATGCTGATGATACTCAGATTTATATACATTCTCAACCTGGTCAATTTGTCGATGTCTCTCATCTTTCCAACTGTATTTCTGAGATTAAGTTGTGGATGTCTAAAAATGTTCTGAATAGCTCTAAACTGAAGTTATGCTTCTTGGCTCTCCCCACCAACTGCGAAATGCTGCTTTTATAGATCTATGAGTTGTAAACTAAACTAAAAATCTTGGTGTTATCTTTGACGCCACCCTTTCATTCGAGCCTTTTGTACAGAACACGGTAAAGACCTCCTTTTTTCATCTTAGAAATATTGTACGTATTCAGCCTATGTTGCCCTTTTATGTTGCTGAAAAATTTATTAAATCTTTTGTTTTCTCACGAATTTATTATTGCAATGCTCTCCTTGTTGGAGTGTCCAAATCCTCTCTTAACAAATTGCAAAACTTGCAGAATTCAGCAGCTAGAATTTTAACTGGGGCTAGGGCTGGCGACCAAATAACACCTGTTTTGAAGACGTTACACTGGCTCCCTGTTAAATACCGTATAAATTTTAAAATCCTAATGCTTATATACAAGGCTCTGGATAGTCTCGCTCCACAGTATCTGTCAGATCTTTTAACACCTTATACGCCAATTCGCAATTTACGATCTTCTCAGCGCGGTCTCTTAGTTGTTCCCAAAACACGGTTGCGATCCAGGGCCTTTTCAACGCATGCTCCAAACTTTGATATTTTCAATTATTTATTTATTACATTTTTTTGTGAATGTCTCAATCGGGTTACAGGCTGTGGAAATTTCAGATAAATGTTCCTGTTATATATTTTGGGTGCATTTGTGAGTTAATAAAAACCATAATTTCGATACATGGATTGATATCAAATCGTATCGTAGAATCGATATCATATTATATCGGGATGAACCATCCGATTTACACTCCTAATTCTGCTGCTGATGTTTCTATGATATTCTGGTCTGTTGATATGATTTGAAGTGTTATATGTCATTTTCACGTTTAATACTCAGTTCTAGTGATTAACCCCTAACCCTCATTATGCTCAATAGTAATACTACAGTTTAGATCTCTATTAATCGAATCCACTGTATGTTGGCAGAGATCAGTCAGTTCTGCTGTTGACCTTGAAAGCTTTGAGTTTGCTACATCTGGATGCAGGCTGTAGATCAGTATATGCAGAAATATAACCCTTGTGTGCAAGGGGATAAAACACAGAGGGTCAGGAAATGAAAAGAGACAAAGCGGCAATAAAAAGCATGTAATCGCTTCTGCACGTCCACAATGCAAACATTACCAAACCCACGGCTGAAATCACATCAGGGTAAATATACCAGCACAGAGGACGTAATAATGAACGACAGAGCGCTGTACCGCTGACAGCCCATTTACATGCCGTGACAATCCAGTCCTTTCTACATTATTCATGTGCACCGTATGACAACAGCAAACCCTCCCCTGGAAAACCAAGCCAGAGAGAGGACATCGGCTATCCTGCAAACTATGTAATGCAATTTACGGCGTGTGTGACTTTAGATGAAGCCACGTTCCAGATAAGAGCATAATAACTATGCAAAATGACACAATAACATCATTTACACAGGCGTCAGTAATTACCTCTGCCAGATAATACGGATAATTTACGCGGAGGAATTTGGACAGACGTTGAATAGTTGATAGCGCGATTGAGAGCGACTGAATGGATTCTTTTTGTGTGCTCTGTGGCAAGTTTGCTTTAGTATGCCAGACCATGCCGAGTGTGTGACTGAATGCTGATGGATCTGAGGCAGCGCTCTGATCTCATACCTGTACGCATTTCTTGCATCCAGCCAAGAATTCGACAGGAAACTGCGTGATTCTCTGTGCCTACAAGATTTATTTGCGTTTTTATTCATGGGTTTGTGCAAACACAGTTCTGATACGCTTACCTCTCGTCAATCGGCCGGTCGTTAAACGTCCAGCGAATCACTGGCAGGGGGTATCCCTTCATGACGCATGGCAACAACACGCTCTCCCCGAAAAACTTCGCCACAGCAACGGGGCCCTGGAGAGTCTCCAATTTTTCTTCAACACCCGAATCTGCAAAGACACACACAAATGTGATTGCACAAAAAAAGCACACGTGACTTCAAAAATAACATTTAAAAATATATTATAAAATGAGTGCTATCAAATGATTAATGGTGATTAATCGCATACAAAATAAAAGTTTTTGTTTGCATAATATATGTGTGTTCTGTGTATATTTATTATGTATATATAAAAACACACACATACAGTATATATTTTGATGATATTTACATGTCTATATTTATATTCATATAATTTATATTATAAATATATATATATAAACATAGCATATTTTTCTGAAGTATATACATGCATGTGTGTGTATTTATAAATGCATAATAAATATACACAGCACACATACATATATTATGTAAACAAAAACTTTTATTTTGGATGTGATTAATCGTTAGACAGCACTAAATAAAACATAAATAAATTATATCTATCTATCTATCTATGAACAGAATCATCTCGTGAACATTTGTTGAAGCAAATTCACAATTAAATTCCTAAAATGATAATGATGATAACAACAACAATAATAATAATAATAATAATAATAATAATAATAATAATAAAATAAAATAATAGTTATTTATAATTGATAAAAATAATAAATATTATAATTTACTTCATAATATAATTTTATTTTAAAATGTACTAATAAAAATGTGTGTATATAAATAAATAAATAAATATATATATTTTTTTTATTCTACTATAATATTTTATAATAATCTATTTACATATATTCATTTTTTATTTTAAATTTTATACAAATAATAATGTGTATATATATATATATGTGTGTGTGTGTGTGTGTGTGTATATATATATATGTGTGTGTGTGTGTGTATATACAGTGGGGAAAAAAAGTATTTAGTCAGCCACCAATTGTGCAAGTTCTGCCACTTAAAAAGATGAGAGAGGCCTGTAATTTTCATCATAGGTATACCTCAACTATGAGAGACAAAATGAGAAAAAAAGTCCAGAAAATCACATTGTAGGATTTTTAAA